GAGTGTGGAAATCAATACGAACAAATTGGAATTGACGTTTCCCAAATTAAGGAATACAATTATCATTGATGTTTGTTTGCACAGGATACTGCCCTACGGATAAGTGAAACTTTGCAAGTTAAAATTTGGAGTGATTATTTGAATTAAAATATATTTAGTAAATATATTACTAGAGCGTGCTACAGATGACTCGTAGTTTAATAGAAATTGTTATTCTAGGAATCTGTTAAGAGCAAGGTGGTCAGCTTAGGTGGTCGCTGGCCTAATTGGATTGCGTTTTAATCAGAAAAATTCCGAATATTCATTTGAATGTTTTATTTAAACACTGTTTATACTATGAAGAGTGAGGGAAAGAGATAGAGAAATATCTCAATTCTTTATATTGTAGAAATAAGGTAACTTTGGAAAGAATTGATAGAATTATGAAGCATTTACATTGGAAACGATAAGATAAACATAAGCTAATTTGTTGTCGCGTTTACAACTATGTTTAGAGATAAGTAAGAACATGGTACATTATCCTCCGTTCATTATATTCTTATGATTATGAAAGATTTTATCTCGACATAAAAAAGTGACACAGTATAAAAAGTATTTCCTATTAATAATTCTTATTAATCGCTTTTAATTGATTTTTAATTCATGTTTACGTAGGATTAATTTTATCATAGCTCGAACGTTCGACTTGCAACGTCTCCGCCGGTTGTTCTAACGTAGACTGTAATTTCAACAATAATTATATTCCTTACTTTTGAAAATAAATCGAAATTTTGATTTATCCGAATTTCGAGGTGTGCAATTGGCATAAACAAGTTTACGTGAAAATCGATAAATATTTACAAGAAATATTAAATAAAAAAATGGCAATTTGTAATATATTGTTCCAACAAATGGACCTTTTAACAATCAGTTTATACGGTCATATTCCCCGTTCAAAAATACGCTCGAAGTGTTCATACGGAATATTGATACAGTGAACTGCAAATACTGTAAATACTCTGGTTTTCATTCTACACTTTCACCGTGGAGGAATCATTTGCAGTGATCGTGCAATGTGAAACGGTGTAAATTCGGTTTATACACAAGTCACATCGGCAGTTGTATTTGTCAGAGCTGACTGGTGCATGGAAATACTTGCGAGAAAGCAAGTATAGGCAACGAAAGTGTCGGTAAACCAACCTCTGGTGATAGAGGAGGAGGTATCCTTGCAATTTCATAGAAACGCTTCTTCCAGGTATCTGTTTTAGACCAACACGAGTACGAACGAATAATTACGGAAAATTATTTTGTTCCCTGTATGCAACCTCGAAGATCTAGTAATAACCAATAACAGAGCAAAAAAAAAAAAAAAACAAGGTTAAAGAAGAAAAAAAAGACGTTCGTGCACCTGGTCACGAGTGATCACGTACTCGCTTATCGAGTGGACTAAACGTGAGACAAAACACGACATTACAATTTCTGGTGTTCGAGGTAGCCAGCTCACAGTTGCGATGTATGAAATTTTTAAGCGGAAAGCTCGCAGATGTACAAGATTAATCGGATTGAATAACTTTCTGGCAATTTCCACGGTGTAATTTTAACCTTGGTCTTGTTTGCGTTTTAATTGCTTGAAAAATAAGGAAATAACGTGTCAGCGATGAATGTACACGAGTCCCACAAAGTAGATTATTTGTGTCGTTATTTATTCTCTTTTTTACGCTTGGTTACGTTAATTATAAATACTGCGCGGAGAATGACCTTATCTCGTAGTTTTTCTTGCAGAAAGATCCCGCGATAAAAGGTTTTCCCGTTCGAACATGAGAATTTCGATTAAATCGTTAACTTACTAACTTAGTGGCTAGTTATCGACCTTTTTGTTTAACTTTCTACACAGAAAGAAATGTCATCTTAACAAAAGCGAAGAGTATATGCTTTTCGTTTTATTGACAAGTTTTACAATTGATCCGGTTAATCATATGTATCGAGGAGTCTTCAACGTTTGTTGTATTTAAAAAAATATCTTGACGATTTATGCGATTGTTGATAGCAGTTGACGAGCAGTGAGTTTCAAGTGTTCCAGGCCACATTGGGCGAAGTTTTGAGCAACCAGACACTGGTCGTCGTCCGCAGCTAAATAAGAAAGAATGGAAACGTGTGAAACAACTGGCACTGGTGTGAAAAGTCACGTTATCATTTGTCCGATTAACGTACCATCCTTGGCACATTGGTGTACATTATTGTGAACGATCTCCTTGTTCTCGCCGTCAGGGAATATACTGTCGAGCAGTTCGTCGATCTTCTGTGTGTTAATAACGTTGCCATCCATCTAAAACAGGTGCAATATATTATAGACAATGCTAGTAAGCATACATATCGAAAAATGTCACTTTCGACGAATGAAAAAGGTAACTTAAAGTAAAGAATTCGAGGAGAAGCAGAATTAAAAATTAATTTTCGGTATTTCTACGATTTTATAAAATATAGAATCTTTTCATTGATCGAAAATTTTCTGCATCACAGTTTTGCAAAATTCGTACTCTCTTGTGAAGCAAATATCTTCTTACCTTTATTGATATTCTATATTTAGTTTCTAAAATACGATTATTCACTGTACATAAATTAATTATTACACTACCGTAATGAATCGGATGTAGTAACATGTACTGTTGTACTAGTGGTATATTAATTTTGTATGTTATTTGAGTTTCCTTTTTTTTGTTTATTATACTCTTCATTGGCAGGAACCTAAGTTGTACTTGTTCGATAAATTCTTCATGCTTCACTATGCTAAGTAGAATGAGACTTTACGTACCAGACCCATCTTCTGCATCATACAGGCTTCGAGGCATGCACGTTTTCTCGCTATCTCAGGGCTGTTGTCGTGAACTAAACTTGGGAGATCAGCTATCGAAGAAGTATTTTCTTTATTATTTATTTTCGTTTCGAGCCGTCTATTTAATTCTTTTCTTCGATGGAAAATATTTACGTTGAAACGTAAACAGTACTCGTTTCACTGGTTCCAATTTATTATTAATAAAGTCGTATGGCACCGTAAAATATGTTAAAATGTATCTATATCACTTTTTAACGAGTTTCTACTTACCGATGCTAAGATCCATTTGTTTCAAGCACGACTCGGACATCTCATTGGCAGTAACCTAAAATTACGAAAATGAAAAATATTAACTTTTCGAACGTAGCTTAGAGAAACGATAGATTCCGTGATATTATCGAAATTCAGTTTTACAGAGTCGTCTGCGTTTTCTCTTCTCTACGTTTAGCGTAATCGAGCTTGAGTCACGGAAACTTTAAACCGGTTAAAGACATACCCCGCAACATACGAAGTAAAGTACGCAGAAAAGAGCGACGATAGTCTTCATGCTTGCGTTTTTCGTGATATTGATATGCAAAGCGTTTGCGGAAGAAGAGCACATACTTAAATAATACTTTTGATGTGCGAAAGGAACTTATTCGACTGGTTAGTCAGCGTTTCGCCTTGCTATTTATACCTCATAGGTGAATAAGAAGTAGAAGATTGATCGTCGCTGATAATGGCTTTACGTAATTTAATTTCCCGGAAACATAGTAAACATTTACGTGGTTATGAGGTGAATTATTTGCGATTACGATAGATATGCATTGTAATCATTTTTATATATATTTGCAGTTCGTTAAGATACATATCTTCATCGATCACATATTTTCATCCATCTTTAATTCTTTGGGAACGTTCGAATTTGAATATTTGGTAAAACGGAAAGCTTTTCGAGAAGACTAAATTTTATCAAAAATGAATTCTATTACCTTTAAGCTAGACAGGGAAAAATTATTGGGAGATGTTTCGTATTTGACAGGAATATAGGTAGTTTGTCTTTTTCTGATACCCAACTCTGAATTAAGCTAATCGATTTGAATCTTCTTTTTTATTATTAAAATTTTCGTGGAAATCGCCGTCTGATTGCAGCACAATTTTACGAGTCACAACATGCACACGGATGATATTCCACGAAATATTAATTGTGCCATCGATAGGGAAATGAAACAGCAAAAAAAACTTAACTTATCGACGCATAACACGTGATCGGTATAAATTCTCTTACCAAGAACAATTCAATGTTACAATAATATGTTTCTATACTTTATACGGTTACATTATAAACATTTATTTCGTTATAGTCCCGTTTGTCTTATGGAGCAAGTTGCAAAAACGAATCCACTCTTACAAATGTCGTCCTGTTCTTGCGCTGAAACAATGAAACAGATGTTTATGAAGATATTACGCTGATATTATTGACAACAGTTGCATGCTTTTAATGTCTATAAAAATAACAAATTCCAATACTAGTCTAGGTTTTGTTTGATTTGATAGCTCCAGTTTTGATAACGTCAAAATTATTTTAACGATGTCTATTGAAATATAATTTTCATCTCGGAAAGAGAGCAACGAAAGAGAATATCAGGCTTAAATATTGACTTTATCGATACCTATTAATTGTAGCTGATCTGAGCTAAGATCAGAGGCGAAAATTAGATGAAAAGGTTTTATTAGAAATGTATATACAATGTACGTATCTGGAATATATTGCAAAAACGTCAAAATACTTGTGAACGTTAGTGTACGCCATGTACGGCTTTTAATCTATGAAAGAGAGTAGGAAAATGTTATCTAAGTATGTAATTTGTAAATAATCGTAGCTTTTTCTTTGTAGTTCCTCGAATAGTTTATTCTGTTTATATCTATTTCGTGCGTTAAATATTGTTGGTTAAGAATTCTAAAAACGTGCACGTTATTTTCTATTTGCTATTTAATATCGATTACGTCGAAGCGGAATTTCGTAAATTCCCAAGAATTTTTCATTTACTTTCTACGACACTCTGTTCTCATTATATGTTTCTATCTGATTATATAATTTCAAATACTATTGATAACAGCAAATGACCGTTCGAATATATTATCTGTGACCGACATTTAAAAAAAATATTTCCAGGAAAAAGATACTAACGTTATTTTTCTGGTCGATAGTTCACAATTTCATCGGTTGCTATATTAGATTTTCTAATAACTGGCGCTATAGATTGAGTTTTATACTTTGACAAAAAATTCAAACTTACCCTTTTTGCAACATTCGTTCAATGTTTGATTCGTGGCTATGGGGAAATTGTTGCGTTCCGCCGTTTTTAATAAATATTCAAACCGAATGTTCTTGTCTTCCACCTGCAAACATTATGAAATAACAAAAATTTTGTTTGAAATATCGACAAGTCGTTAGATAATTAAAGAATTAAATGATAATCAACGTTTACCATGTGAGCTTTGTCCAGAACGCATGTAATGAAACAACCGAAGTCCAACATGACGTTTTCGAAGTTTTCGCGTGATATATTTTCCTCTTGGAAAATGGCGTCCAACTTTATCAAATCCGCTATAGTCGTTGGTAAAATCATTAGGAATGACAAATATCAAATATATATTATTTTCGTGGACATGAATTATAATAATTTCTCTCTTCTAATCTTTTAAACAGAATCGTACTTGAATTTTATTTACTTGCTATTATTTAATAATTTACCACGTATATGTTTACATTGATTATATCTTTTAGAATAAAAATGAGAATTATAAAGGAAAATGTAAAATACAGAATTTTCTAAGAAATTAAAAAAGAGAAAAGAATCGCGAAATTATATACAATAAATTATTTAGAAACAAATTATTAGTTATTTTATAATACATACTGTCAGTTAGATTGCTCTGCTGCAAACATTGCCGTATATCCTTTATATTAATGTTTAACATTTTTGTGAATTGTATTAGATTGCTTGCTCGCACGAGTATCTGTAGTAGATGGTAATTACTTCAATCGTAATAATTAATTATTTTTTAACGTAGAGTGTATAAAAGTATCATGTTAATTACAAAACTTTTTGGTCCGGTTAATATACAGTTCATTTAATATTCAGTTAATATCAGATACACCTATCATACCTCCAAAAGTTTAGCAGTTCAATGTATTATACAGGGTAGTTGGTAACTGGTGGTACAAGCGGAAAGGGGGTGATACTACGCGAAAAAAGAAGTCGAAAATATAGAATAAAAATTTAAAAATTTAAAAATTTAAAAATTTAAAAATTTAAAAATTTGAAAATTTAAAAATTTGAAAATTTGAAAATTTGAAAATTTGAAAATTTGAAAATTTGAAAATTTGAAAATTTGAAAATTTGAAAATTTGAAAATTTGAAAATTTGAAAATTTGAAAATTTGAAAATTTGAAAATTTGAAAATTTGAAAATTTGAAAATTTGAAAATTTGAAAATTTGAAAATTTGAAAATTTGAAAATTTGAAAATTTGAAAATTTGAAAATTTGAAAATTTGAAAATTTGAAAATTTGAAAATTTGAAAATTTGAAAATTTGAAAATTTGAAAATTTGAAAATTTGAAAATTTGAAAATTTGAAAATTTGAAAATTTGAAAATTTGAAAATTTGAAAATTTGAAAATTTGAAAATTTGAAAATTTGAAAATTTGAAAATTTGAAAATTTGAAAATTTGAAAATTTGAAAATTTGAAAATTTGAAAATTTGAAAATTTGAAAATTTGAAAATTTGAAAATTTGAAAATTTGAAAATTTGAAAATTTGAAAATTTGAAAATTTGAAAATTTGAAAATTTGAAAATTTGAAAATTTGAAAATTTGAAAATTTGAAAATTTGAAAATTTGAAAATTTGAAAATTTGAAAATTTGAAAATTTGAAAATTTGAAAATTTGAAAATTTGAAAATTTGAAAATTTGAAAATTTGAAAATTTGAAAATTTGAAAATTTGAAAATTTGAAAATTTGAAAATTTGAAAATTTGAAAATTTGAAAATTTGAAAATTTGAAAATTTGAAAATTTGAAAATTTGAAAATTTGAAAATTTGAAAATTTGAAAATTTGAAAATTTGAAAATTTGAAAATTTGAAAATTTGAAAATTTGAAAATTTGAAAATTTGAAAATTTGAAAATTTGAAAATTTGAAAATTTGAAAATTTGAAAATTTGAAAATTTGAAAATTTGAAAATTTGAAAATTTGAAAATTTGAAAATTTGAAAATTTGAAAATTTGAAAATTTGAAAATTTGAAAATTTGAAAATTTGAAAATTTGAAAATTTGAAAATTTGAAAATTTGAAAATTTGAAAATTTGAAAATTTGAAAATTTGAAAATTTGAAAATTTGAAAATTTGAAAATTTGAAAATTTGAAAATTTGAAAATTTAAAAATTTAAAAATTTAAAAATTTAAAAATTTTAAAAATTAAAAAAGTAACGTCAAACGAGACAACGATCTACAGTGAGATCCATTATAACGAGACGTGATAAAGTGCACGCGTACCAAGCGAAAATTCAAAGTCGATTTTCTCGGAAACAAAGCCTCGAACGAAAAATTTTTATTCTATATTTTCGACTTCTTTTTTCGCGTAGAATCACCCCCTTTCCGTTTGTACCACCAGTTACCAACCACCCTGTATATTACAAATTATTTGCGTATATTTACATGTATTGCGTAAAAAATTGCAATCCTGTTCATGTTAGCGCTATACAAATATCAGTGTAACAAAATATTTTCACTTCATATTTTAACATTATAATTTTATTTACGCGAAGAGATCTTCTCTCATATTTACAAAGAAACTTATTAAAGAAAGAGAAAGAGAAAGCAGTAAAAAGCAATCGAAAATAACTTATTAAAATATTACGTAAATATATACGTAATATAAAAATATATTACGTAATATAAAATATTACGTAATTACATCTACAAACTTTACAAATCTAAAATTGTAGAAATTTTCAATTATTTGTATATTATTATATAAATATTTTACCTACACAAAAATATACCTTGTTGTGTGTACTTACGTTTACGGAAAGAACGTAGACAAGAATCGCGAGATATCGTCTCTTTCCCATCTTTCCAAACGATTACAATCTTTTAAAATCACTGTCACGATGTCAACGAGAAATTCAGAAGCTGTTTCTGCGAAAAGGTATGCAAACTGCGCGACTGCAAAGCATCTCTGCTTATATTTATCGTCGACCGTGAGAACGGTGCCCCAGTTGACAAACGTATCGGATTTTAACCAAAATTGTTTTATGCATACGTATCAAAAGTGAGTTAGTCAGCGAAAATGAAGCAACGACGTTCAAGGCAATAAAGAACGACAAGAGAAAAAACGAAGTGGTTTTAAACAATGATATAATTTTATTTACTTCAACGGGATGCAGATAAAAGAGGAGAAAGCTACATGATTTTATCCAAGACGAAGAGAAAAATGAAAATAGGGAAAGAAAGACACAAAGATGGGGATAATTTTGATACTACTGCTTCGAATATTCTGTAATCTTCCAAGTAAGAACATTATTTACGTATCAAAATAACATCCATCGTTCCATTGTTACCGAATTGTTCTGAAATTTGTAAAGATCGAAAGAAAGATTCTAGTACTACTAAAATTTTATTTTATCTCCAATTGATCGTCGCGTAATTCTCAAAGAAAGAGCTTGGAAAGTGGACCAAGATCGTTAAAACTAATCGTAAGATACTAACTCTCACACTGTTACTATTTTAATTTCACCGATAATTATCGTATTATTTTAACGAAAAAGATATCTTCCACTTAAAATATTCGATGAACTTTCGTCTTTTCTGAAGTCGTGGTTGCTCGGCTTTTCGAAGAGCGATCCATGGGGTTTCGTTAATAAGAATGAGATTAAACGAAGCCGATTCGGGGCATCGTTACTCACGCAAACACCACGGTGGTGGCGGCGGTTGGCTTATGAATAAACACTGCGGCGTTAACGCGTTATGAATAATTAACCTGCACTCGAGACACGGACGCTGTGTGCATTTCAACGTGAAACAGGCCAATGTTTTACGACCACCCGGTATACGTACGATCGCGTGAATGTATGCTTTCGGGATATTTCACGGTGAAAACTGATGCATTGTGATCGTGTATGGAAATTTTTCATCTTGAAAGCAACGAGAGGTTTCATTTGCTTTTTATCTTCTTTCTTTCTTTCTTCTTTCGCGATCTTTTACTACATAAAAGAGGCTAAAAAGGTGTAGATACACGAATGCAGAATTTTTGAACTTTTTAATTACGTACAAACTGCGAGTCCGTTATTTATTATTTTCTATCTTATTCGTCTGTAACTCGAATATCTCTATGTTAATAGTCATCAGTTCTATTACGTATTTTGGTCTGTATTTGTCACTATATTAAAATATTTTAGGAATCGTGCTATACAGTGCGAGTAATTATTATATTTTCACAATATCTCATTTCTGTATATTTGACATTGATTTAATGGATTTCTAATTCGTAGCTTCCAATTTGATCTTTTCCACGCGTTGTAGCTTCCTTTCTCAAGCGACGGATACGACAAAAGAATGAAACAGATTTTTAATATTAGTTCCCTATCGTCCCATGAAACGTAATCTGGCAATTTAAAGAATATTTCATTGTATCTTTAGAAAAGTAAACGTATTAAAGATCAAAGGTATATTATTCTTTTCTCGCTGTCGTTCTTCATAATCCACGAGATTATCCATGCTTGACTCACAGCATGCCGTCTAGCGAACGACGAGCAACGATCGCGTTAGCGTAAGCGACTCACGTTGTGAGGCGGTATAATGTAGCCCGTAATGGTCGAAGTTGGCTGGCATACAGGATGGAATAAAGTTACGACGACCTTACGCGACAGCGAAGACACGACACGGAGACACTTTTGCAAATGGTCGGCTTTACGACCGATTACAGACGTCGGATACGTTTTCGATGGAATCACGGATTCGGGTCCGGACCCAAGTGGAATATTAAGTCAGAAATGTAAGTTTCTTGTTCGAATATCGGATGCCCGTGTCCTCGTGATCATCGACCGATAGATCGATCGTGAATCGCGAAATATCGCCAACTAAACGAACTTAAACGAAGAAATTATCGATGACGCGTGCACTGGTTCGCGAAAGTAGAGTCGAACGCTTATCACAGGGAAGTTCGATGACCACATCGTATGCGTCGTAAGATATTTGGAAGTTTCTTAAATTTAATAAATTTGTAAGTTAGAAGAGCGGCTACGTAGAGAAGATTTGATCGGCGAGACAATTTTTATTACGGAAGGATCGTTTATTATTCAGCTGCGTCACTAACGATAAAAAGAATCGACACGCGACACCAATGGTTCGATTAATATTTATGAAGTTAGAGGAGGGAAGGATGCACCACGAGCTGTATCTCTTACATCATTTTATTAAACGTACTACACGTGGTAATTCAAATGATTACAACTTCATAGCCTTCGACGAATGATATTTGGTCGACTGTCTTATTAGTTGAACAACTTGCCTATGTAACAGTCTACGTATTTGTTACCGATGTTGCACTCGTCTGTTTCCCCTTTGGCTATAACAAAGCAAGTAGTTCGAGTTAACAAATATGGACAGCAAATGTGTACGAGCATCATCGATAATAACAATTTCTCGGCAATTAAGAAGCTCTGTTCGCGTTGTCCCGAATATAGCATCTGTTTGATACTTTAAAACTATATCTTTAAACATCCAGGATAGCCGCTCAGGGTCGCTAATTTGTTTGTTCACGATGCTTAGAGAAATTGCTATTAATTTTTCGATTTCTTTGCCAAGTAATTAGAAAAATTCGAAGATTATAAAATCGTCAAGCGTCGATCAGAACTAAACATCGATACTTACTGCCAGCACTGCATTCATTTGCGATATCCTTCACAAATTTGACATCATCGTCGTTGCCAGCGTGGACGGTTTCTATCATTTTGTACACCGGATCCATATTGAAATCGAAGCCTTGCAACTAGATAAAAAAGATAGAAGAAAAAAAACGATTAAAACCATTGGTCGAAGTTAACTGATCGTTCGGTTAACAATACACGTACCACGTTCATTCGTTTCATCACACAGGCTTTCAGGCAACCCATTTTCCTGATGTCAGCGTCAGCTTTCGGTTGCTGGATGTTCGTTGCAGTGTCTGAAACGCGATAATCATAATACATTTCACAACGAATCTAAAAAATCAATTTTTCTTTTATCTAATATTTTTTCCAATATATTTCGTTGAATTAAAAGATTTTTTAAGAGATTTTACCTTCTGCGATGTTAAGCTCGTCGGCGCACGGTTTGATATCCGGCAACAAGTACTCCATGTATTTTCCGATTACGGCGTCCTGATCCATACCGCGCACGATCGTCTACAAAAAAAGATTATCGATAAAAGCTAAAAAATTATTGTTCGCCGTATGATTATAAATAATATTGCGACGGTGTATTATAAGAAGACGACGATGTCAAAGAGAAAAGAGTTCGCATGTGGTGAAATTTCATCCATGATAGCCCTTAAGGATTAAAGAATATGTTAATATTAGGCTGTGAATTTATGAAAACTGACATTTTGGAAAATATAGGAATGCAGATGATGGGGAAAGTAGTATCAGTAGTAATATGTTATGCAAAAAGCTTTGTCGCGATTCCTTTGATTTTTAAATACACGTCACATCTGTTCATCGCACCAAGTTCTTTTTTTTTAACGCAATGCGACTGATCGGCGTGAAACGTACAATATGTTGGCAATCTCCATTGCTGAATGTCTTGGATTTCGTTCAGTTAAGTTTGCTATTTCACCGCTATTTGTTATCGGCCTGCCACTTCGTCTTTCATCTTCCAAGTCTCTGGTGAACTTCATCTGCGTGATCTTCGAGTAATCTTCATCGTTAAACTTTCTAATCCATCTTGCAATAATACGTTTGTTAATGGAATTATCACCATAGACACCACAAATTCATTTCTTTATTTACTCTACATTCTTTTTCCCGGAAATAAAAAACCATGGAATGGCAAAAATGAATACTCTGATCGCCAATTTCGAAGATACAATCTTCTCGATCGAAACTGAAGAAGAGCTGGCCGACACTGCGGATGAAATACAAACTTGCAAACCATTCTTAACTGGATGCTTTATCCGTCACAGTTAAACTTAGTAAACAACGTAGTATTTATAAACTGAAGCGTTCGTTATAATATTCGAGGATAAAACATCCTGTAGTTTTAAAAAAACTAGTCTTAGAAACAAAAAAAAAAAAATCGAACGAGAAAATTAAAAAGTTGTGCAACAGTAAGGAAGACAATATAAATTGTATTTATCAGAAGAGAAAGGACGGTATATAGGTTTCAGATTAAAAAATGCAGCATTCTGCTACTATTGTTAACATCGGATGATTTATACTACTTTTCAAAAACTGATTTGTCTTTAATCGATCTATAGTTGATTTATATCGATTTACTCGAATTACTGAAAAATGAACCTCCTTATTATCGCGGTTACCTGTTTAATTTCTAAAAAATCGACTTACCACGGCGGCCAACAGGCAAGTAAAAGTCACAAGGGTCTTCATCTTTCAGTCGACGTATCAAAACTTAATTTCTGAACGAAGATCGATTGGTTTCCTACTGGTATCACAGTGTGCAGTATTGGATCCCGTGGGACGATATTTATATAGAGAACAAACAGAGACAATAGCTGGTGTTAAGGTCTGACAGCGTACAGCAGGAAACGAGATAATTGCCTCTGGTTCTACCTCGATTTACGTAAGATTGGTTCAAGTACGGCCGAAATACGTCTAATCATCATTGGCACGCGTCAAATTTGTCACAGAAAAGTGATCGTTTGCCGTGCGTTCGGTGATCTTGGAAGAAGCACTTGTTCAACGTAAATTACAGGATCGAATCAGCCATCCTGTAATAATGGCATCGTCCTGTACCGTAGTACTGTAATCTCGACTAGGAGACTAGAAATGACAGTGCAATCGAGTATTCGCTGATTTGTTTGTTTCTTCCTCCTCTTATTCGCCTTCTGAGAATCGTACGACCAAGGAGAAACGAGCTGGTTGAGTATAGCGAATAGTCTTTGACGACGAAGGATCTGTTTGATCGTAGGATATTGAGGGATGACGAAAGAGCATGAAACTGTGAATAGAGCGAAAAAGGGATTCGTCGAGAAAAGTATGATTAAAGGTACCACGAATGATAGTAAGAAAGATGATGATTAGGTCTTTTTGCAAACTGGTGTGAGGTCAGATGATTAGAATAAAGATTGGTTGGACAAATTGCGTAAGATACGATTATTGAGGAGGTAGAGGAAAAATAATGACGACAAGGTTTTTAAAGATACACCGAGGAGATTAAATAATCGTAACGACTGATTATATTGGCATTTAACAATCGTATCGATTGATTATGCTGGCGAGAAAGAAGTGGAATTCTATTGAGAAATTTTTGAAGTTAAACGTTAATGTTGACTGATTAGAAAGATTAAAGTGTCTTATATCAATTTATTATCTTAGTAAAAGAGAAGCGAGACATTGTCGTGCAATTTGTAAGATTAAAGTATAACTGATCGAGATCGTGATCATCGATTGTTATCCAACTACGGTGTATTTTATAACATACAGTTTCTCTTCTACGATAGGTTCGTAATATAATTACAAATAATGGTAACGCAAGAGATTCGGTTATATTAAAAATATAAAGCAGATATTTCCTGCGATTTCCTTTTAAGAGATCCTTTTAATACTTGTCCACGTAACATTGAATGAAAGAGTAAGCCATCTTGCAATCGTCCGACATATCTTTAACTAAAACGAAACTGTGTTAGTAAAGAATATAGTTTTAAATAAATAGGTAGACGTAATGTACCTTTATCAAGGCATTCAACTGCATTCTGTTTCATAGGTTCGATCTTCTCAGGTTCTTCGTTGTGCACGATCTTGATGAACTCGTTTATCATCTCTAAATCTATCTTGGAGTCTTTCAACTTAAATACAAAGATGTTCTGCGTTATGCAACTATTCCGTAATTTAACTTTCGGTTAAATTAAAAAACATCGTCTATGAATTTTTTGCTCGATTGTAATATCTCATCGGTTAATCGAAAGATGATCAAGTATAACAAGTTATTAGGCGAATTGAATTTACCGGATGTTAATAAATATTTAAAGCCTCTTTCAAATGAGCTCACCATGTTCAGAGATTTTAATATACACGATCTTAAACACGAAGCTTTGTCCACTCCCAGTTTTACCTCCTGGTCAAATATTATCCTTGGGTCCGCTGAAATATTATAATATTTCGCGTATCAATTTAATAAATTATGTCTCTCTGTTGGAGAAAATAATCATTACACTAACTTTCAGTGTAGCCAACTGTCTTCGCACACTTTAGAGTAGGAACCTTCGAAAGCTCCAAGTAACTGTCGATGAAATCTGCTTGGATAACTGCCTGAATAATTAATAAATATCGATTAATAATACTCAACGAATAAACAATTCGTAGCCTATACGAAAATTTCTATACTCTGCCGATTGAGGAGAAATAACGCGTAAAAATTGCTTGGACGCAACGTTATCGAGAAACGTGAAATAATTTGTATATTATTTTATCGAGATGTAAAAAGCATTATAGCAGCAGATACAGCACAGAAGTCCATTATACACTGTATATTCTATGACGCATTGAATTACCGGGGATTCTTCTCGATTTTATTTTTAATATGTACGTTAGTTTCGGTGTCCGATTTCGTGCTCGATGCCTAGCGTTTAACCGTGCAGGCTTCTATCGTGCACGTGCTCGTGCATATAATCATCTTTATAAGGTTGCGAATGAAAGAAAGGAAACGAAATAAAATTGAAAGTCGAGCTAGTCTGGATTAACGCAAAAGGAAAAGAAATAAAAATCTATAGCGGAATTCTTCAAATTAAAGAAAAGCAAGGCAATGAGATTCCAAATTGAGACGTTTTAAATTTCAAATAGATGGAAATTCCAAACTCGATAATAATCGATATTTTCCTTACTATAGTTAACAAAAGACAGATGCCAACCAGAAGACTCTTCATTTTGAGGTTGATTTTTGACAAACAAGAAATACGCGTTAAGAATATATTTCCACTACTAAATTTTCTTAGCGAATTGCAGCGATATTTATATTGCAAATGTGCTGATAAAAAAAGCCTGTTACATATGATACATAATCTAAAAAAACCTATTAAAGTATATCGTATTGATGGATCGTTTCCGATCACCTACGTCTCGTATGATGATGATGAGAACTGTTAGTTATATGATTATTAGTCAAAAAACTGGAATAATAATTACTTCCTTTAGTTACGTATCGTCTTGTTCGACGTTCTGTTTATCAGTCACGATTCGAATCGGATTCAAAACACTTATATGATTCAAAACACTGGACAAAAATTTAAAAAATATCAAAATACTTTACTAAAACGAAATAACGCCGCGAAAGTCTTTGTTGATGGAATTAATTAGAGATGATACGAAGAATTTTACGAGAACGAATGTTGTGTATAGTGTAGAAAGCAAAATTGGTAATTCCTTTCAAATCAGGGCAATTTAAAACGTTTATTTGAAACCGCGTTTACAATATTTGAAGTGAAAGTCAGTTAAAGCCGCTAAAAGCTATATCTTGCGATAAATTTATCCAACTATGTTTCTATAATTACCTAACTATGTTTTTATAACGATATTAAGACGGTTTAAACTGTAAACAAAGTCGGCAGTTTGAACAAACGTTGGCGATCTTCCCAAACATTTTCAAAAGAGAAACCCCGATTTTTTTTTCATCTCCGACAGATATAAATAAACGTAGCGACTGAGAGAAGTCATAATAATAATTACCGTTCGTCTATCGAGTAACAATTAATTACCGTTCGTCTATCGAATAATTACCATTGTCAATCGAAGAGTTAGTTGTCATTTTGTCAACCGAAGAATCATCATTTTGTCAACCAAAGAATTACCATTTTGTCAACCGAAGAATTTTAAATCCGTCAGTCTGTCAGTCAATTGCCAATATCGAAATCGAGTAAGATTTGAATAAATCGTTACATATTGTTAATTTACTTTCGAACAACTTTAATCCTCTCCGGTGCCAGTATTGCCGCACATAGCGGGTTAGCCGAAAGTGGAACTTATTGCCAGTTGCATTAAACGTCAGTTAACGCTTCCGAACGCGGCAACCAAATAAAAGGTGACAACAGTCATCTTTCGCTTCCTTTCTTTATATCGGTGAAATAGTCATTCATTGTATTTAGAAAAACGAGTCTTTCTAAGTGCAATATATTCGACTTTATTCGTGTACAGATGTTTACATGGATGAGAAGATTAGATGATTAGATGTGACGTAGATGTTTGAATCTCTTGTAATTCATACGTCAGAGAAATGTTAACAAATACCGCAGAAATAATAGTTTCTTCGTGTTTAATAAACTTTAATAATAAACTCTATTAAATTTTACGATATATGTCTACTTCGTTGTAAAAACGCATATTAATCAATTTTATTATAAAGTTCACGTTATATTGAATTTACGAAACGAAAAACAAACGATGATTCGCCAAAATGAAAAGAAAAACGAGGGTTAATTAAAAATAATTATTGAAGTGCTCAATTTTCATTTAATTGCTTTTGTATTCGCGTCTTTACAGTTGCATCATATCTTGTATTATTTTCTGTGTGATAATTCCAATGCTTCTCTGCTATTCAAGAAATCAAGAAGTCGAAATTCCTTTGAATTAAGCCGGCGTCATGCAGCGTGAAAACTCGAAAGCGATCTCGCACTCGTCGGTTTTCCCAGAAACTGCAAGGATTTTTAACGAATTATTAAGAATCTATATATTCGATACGTTCTTTCCTATTCAGTTTAATCTTTGCTTACCTTCTTCCACACATTTCTTTATCTTATCCGCATATTCCGCAGCTCGGTTTGACTCTGACTCTTCGCTAAATTTATCCATAAAGTCTTTTAAGTTGTCTACATAGATCTGACCGTTCGTCATCTAAACAACCATTTTTATATCAGAGAACATAGTTGAAGATTGTCGAACATAGAAAAGTTGTAAATATATATTTGAGAAGTTTGATTGTTCGGAAAAAACGACCGAGTACATGTCAGATACTGTACGGACACGATTAACGTCAGGTTTCGCGTTATAAATTAATCAACAATGGAATTTTAGGGCTTTGAATAGAAAGTTGTTCAGTCACTGTTTAACTATAGACCTTATTTCGATGATCTATCGTCTTTTTTACACTCTCTAAGTTATTCTAATCCTTTGACAATGTAATAAGAACTCAGAATAGAAGATGGACGAAGAATCGAGAATGAAAAATTTAGAAGAAACATCGTCTCTTTATCCTGAAGATTTCCTGCGTTTCTGGTCTTCTAGAAACAAGGTTTTCTAGAAGGATCAGATAAGAGAAAAAAATACGTTCTTTTAACTTTCTATAAGTGATAAATACTAATAATTGTTTGGAGTATGACGACATTTAAGACGTGAGATTTATAATATTATATTCGATAATCGTGTGTATGTAATATCGTATTGCATATTTGTGTGTCTACCTGGTACATTGTTGAAAAGTCAAGTGAAATTTTCTAGCATAACTAACGATTGAAAAATTTGTCGAAACCTTTCGAGCAAAGAATTCAGGAATTATCAAACATTGGTGAGAAATTGAGGGTAAAGTTAAATTAAATAATTGCAAGAAAATTGAAGTATAAACTTACGAATCAACCTAATAAAAGGGCAGTGAGATAAAGGAAAAGATGTTCAAAAATAAGGAAAATGTCTTACAATGTTTATGCGTTTCATAACACAGGCTTTCACGCATCCCCATTTGGTCCTTTCCTCACCTTCCAAGTCATTAACGACAAACTTCTTAATTTGATCTAAAATACAGATAGATCGTTTTAACGAATGTGTTAGGAAATCATCGACAAAATTTGAATGATTATTGCAATGCGTTACCTTGCGGAATCTCAGCTTCTTCCAAACAAGGTATTATATCCTCTTTTAAAGCTTCTATGAATTCTTCAGCCTTATCGTCACATATGGCTCCCTAAAATAAACATTTGATGTTTATTGAAATTTAATTTTTTACATCTTCTTCCTTTTCATTACACCGTTTACTTTGTCGTTTATTTCATTTTACTTTTTTTTTTTAGGAGATAAAGTAAAACGCTTGACGAAAGAGTCATTTTTCCGAATACAAAAATTAATATATAACTAGTTATAATACTTTTTTATAGTTAAACATAAATAGTTTCTTGAAACATATACAGGCGATTCAGGCAGTGATCTTGTTCACACGTTTTTTCATTTAATTTGCGAATTGTAAGAAGCTTCAGGTATAGCAGAGGATACGTTGATGTTGTTAAAAAAAAAGCGGCAAATAATTAACTATACGTGATTCTTGTTGCTTATTAATACATAGCGACCAATCGACTATTTGAAATCCTTTGATGATTTCTGTAAAATTTATGCTTGCGATAAGTATACTCATATGTATTTCTAGATTCGTTGCAAATGTTAGTATTATAATTACGATAGTCGCGTTCCACTGCGGTATCAATGAAATTTCTGCGTGTTGTTCAAATGTTTCTATAAATGTTAATGCTTTCACTGTGGACAAAAGTACACTCAACTTCGGTTTTATAGGTAACCGTAGCTAAAACGAATTCTATCCCCTAACGATCCCATAGCAACTAGGACAGGCACTAAATTAATATGGAATCTCACTCACCGCAACGAACAAGAGGCAGCAGATAGCCAAGCCAACTCTCATGTTGTAAGTAAGTTTTGGATAAAAATTCCACAGAAAGCAAAACACTTGACTGACGCCTGTCGGCACTTGAACATCATATTTATAGCAGAACTGTGGAAATATGTGTCCAACATCTTCTGAGGTGTTAAGATTCCATTATGGAATAACAGGAAGAGAAATAATTGCTTAATTCATGTTGGTGTTTATGTAACGTGTCTTGATTAAAATCTGCCGGCCCTCGATTGCTTCGGATGAAGAATAAAAAAAATAATAGACTTCGCCAGAATCAGGGAAGATGATCGTCGTTCGTATAATTAAAATTCGGTTTTCTTCTAACGAGCCACGTTCCGTGATCGATACATAACGATCGTTAGGCGTGATTTATTCCCCGATATCTTCGCCGATCACCCCAGTGCCATTGGCATGCGATGATCCGTCATGGGAATGGTTTCTCTTTTTAGACACTTTTTTATGGACGATAACCGACGTTTACGATTCAAACGGACGGAATTAATTGGTCGACTAATTACTCCGTTCGATTCTATTCTAATTATTGCCTATAATTATCGCAAACACGCGTGTGAAATCTGGAATGATTACAGGTGGCCTTTTAAAATAGAATCGTCGTAACAGGTTCGCGTTAACCCTTGCTACGTGGTATCCTCAAAGCTGAGAGTATTTTCGTTGTACAGTATCGGCCACTTTGTGTTTCAAAAGTTTGCAGTTATTACGCGTTCCATAGAATCCAGAAATTTAAGAGAACAATTACGTTTCTATTGGCTTGAGACTCTTTTCTAAAAGTTTACTAACACGAAATATTTGTGGGGTGTGCGCATATGATATCTACAACACGGATATCAAATTAACAACGAAATTAGTAGCAGATTCGATACACGCGCTTGAGGAAGTTACTTCCAATTTTTAATTAGTAGCCTATGTTCTTCATAACGTAAGGTGTCAACGTGTAAGAAAAGCTAAAGCCTGGCAAATTTCTACGCAACGAAGAAAGCCATTTTTTTCAGAACGAGTGCATCGAAGTCACGGACAAGGATCGTCGTTTTACATCAGTTAGTCCAACTTTTAACAGCAACGGGACTTATTCGCAAGAATTAAGATCTTTCGAACTGAAGCATCGACAGAAAGATTCCGAACCAGTTCGACCAACTATTAGAAGAACCGGATTGGGTTTTTCCTTCGATTAAAGGCGAATGACGGACGGCCTTGAATTAATCTGAGCGTTATTATCGTCGTAACAGAAGGAAGTTTAAACCGCGGAAATCAACCTCATCTTAGAACGATCAAAATATTTCATCGATTCGAGCAACCAACTATAAATTTGTCTGCTCGAATGAGACTGTGTAGCTACGGGCGTACAAGATAAATCTTGCCAGTGCACCGTCATAAAGTTGTAAAATAGGTGCGATATTTCATCCTATTGTAAGTTAGGCGTTGCGCACAGGTAGTTTGATATCGAATAATTGATAATAATCTTTCTATTCTGTGCAATAGTGTATGTAACCGCAAGAGAATCTTTTAATTGCGATATGATTGTCTTAATTACACGGTTGGTAGAAGCTGGTTCGTATAATCCAAAGTCGTGGACAATTGTTTAGAAACGTTATATAAAGTCGTATTGGTGTCTCGTGATGGGTTTTGAAGATTGCGAGGTGGAAGCAGAGAGTTTCTGTTAGACAGATTAGTTAGAAACGAAGAGTTGGAAGAAATATGGAGAACATGGGGTAATGATACAGTTATTTCGTGATATATTTATCATTCTACGAGTAAATTTGTTCGTTTAATTATTGTCATCTAGTTTTTATTATTTTATCGAACATAGCTATATTTTTTCGGAAAATATTCGTTTCGGGGAATATTTTTATGAATAATTAAAGTAATATCAAAGACAGAGAAAACAACGCTTTGTAATATAAGAATTAAATATTATTTTACATACAATAACATTTTCTAAAGTTATCGAATCGTATCGTTCAAGAAGTCAGTGAACTTCGAAAGTTAATTTTTCTAGACAAATAGCTGACATATCATCAGTACGCTCCCAGACCCTTGATATCATTGATCGATGATCGATTATAGGATAAGACTTGGATAGTTTAAACCCTTCTGCATTGTGGTTTTTTTCGGCTATGTCTACACACTGCTACTTTTCGACTACTACGACGACGATGACGGAGATGACGATGTCGAGGTGTTTGCGATTGGAAATTTCTCTTGGTTCTTCGATGATCTTGTGAGTCCGCCGTTAACGAGTTGTTCACGGTATTATATAAAGCTGTAACAGATTTTACGAATATTTAAAATTACGTATCGATAACTGGCAAGTTTTTTAATGATCGACGTGATTAGGAAAATGTGAAATATTTGGAATTTATGAAATTGTTTCAAAGATTCTGAAAGCAGCTTCGGAAATGTTACTGCAACTTGAATCACGTTTGTCCGTACATTGTCGTTCATATCGTTTAACAATAAGATAAAATAACGAAATTTTGAAAAGTAGCGATGGGAATCTTTCGAAGAGATCGTATTTCGCTTTACTTTCGTACAAACGTATAAATCATACGCCCATAATCCAAAAATGTCGAAAGGATTTTGTGCAAAATTCCAATTATTACGTAAAATTGGTAACGTTCCAAGCTCTTTCTCGAGAGATCGATCTAAGATGAATTACTGCACCCATGTTATTGTTTCCGGCGTAATCGTAATTAAAAATCACCTCAGAATCTGTTGCATAGGTGCATGCGCTAAATTGCCATGCAGCTTCGCACCCGTCCGTAGCCGTCACTGCAAATGAAAATTACAAATAACGAACGCAAAAAGATATAGATAATTTCTTATTAATACTGTGTTATTAGTAATACGCTAGAGAAATTCTTGATTTAAATATTTGTTTAAAACGGTGTTATTGAATCGATTGCTTACGTCGTTGATTATCAACGAAGGTACTTGCCTGTGTTTTTACACGTTTCAACTAAATGTGTAATGCGTGGAAAATATTCGTCGAGGATCATAACACGAGCGTTCTTCACGAAGAAATCCCACATGATTTCGTCGCCCTTCATCTAACGAACAAAGCAAACGTATTTTTCCATCTTGTTGATTTAAAAGATGTAACGTTCATTGTTGCGAAATGATGACTAACTTTTTGACCATTGATTAAAAAAAAAAAAGAAAATTGAGAAATTTCACTTACAGCTTTGGTTTGTGTCAGGACGCATTTCATATAGCACATCAACCTCTCGTCTTTTGGGAATTCACCTTTATGTTGGCCGTCTAGAAGCTCTGTACGTAAATCACCAAAGAGTTTATTATTCTTTCTTGAAAGCTGTTACCAAGAAATTGTACCTACATAGTACATTTTGTTTATGTTCGAAATTAATCATCAAGACGAACAGAATTGAAACAAAATTCGCATTGGGACAGAATTTTCGTCCACGATAGATAGATAACATTTAACGTTCAACGATAAAGTTGAAGTTGAAGTAAAAGTTAAAAATAAGAAAGAACTATCAAAACTGTCGAATAATATTGAATCTCAAATCAAAGAGCGACGCATTAATTTCGATTACATTTCCCATCGAATCGTCATCGAACGTCTGCATAACCAAGTGTGTCCACAAGTCACGAAGACTATCTCTTCCTCGTTTAAAAAAATCTGATCAAATACCACAGTCATCCTTGCAAATTGGAAAAAGTAGCATCGAAAAGTACCTTTAGGGGTGTCGTTCTTCTTGCTGCAAGGCTTCCTCAAGTTCTTGATGGACTTCTTCAGTTCATCGAGGTTCATCTTTTTCTGTACGCGTAAAAGAAAGTCCAAAGTCCGTGTGTATAATGTACACATTCAGGCGAATTATAGCTTCGAATAGGAAGAATCGATCGATCAAACTCACGCTCTCTGTATCTTTGATCGCCAACAAGACAAGCATCAACGAGACCAGCAGGCAAACGCCGACCCCCTTCATCCTGTTTGACTTGTTCCAAATTTATTCTTCTTCCTCTTCCTCGTTGATGTTTCGAACCAACTTCGCTAACTTCTCGATGGTTCAAACCACGAAGAAATAGCGCACGTGGATTCGCAATATGATCGTACACTCCCTTTTATAGTCCGCGTTGATCGTCGCGGTAGGAGAAGGAACAATTTTTGCATTTTGTGGGTGTTGCACGAAGCTTGACCCGTAATTACCCCGCCGACTAATAATTAATGTGCAACCTGCACTTTCCGCGTAGCATCTTCGGAAACTCAGACTACGTCGGAAAGGGAAGAGTGTTTCCGCCACGTAATGGATTACGTCGCAAATATGAAATCATTATGCATTGTATTATCATTGACGATGCTGGATCATATCCTGAGAGTACCTCTTTTAACGAGTTATTTCTTTTTCTCTTTGATTTTGTGTTCTTTGCTTCTAATTTTTCTTTTCCGATTTTGTACGAGGACTCGCTTGTTCAATCAACACTTTATCGACCGATAGCCGATTAATCAGTTTTTCGTCACCGACGCTCATCGACCGATAGTCTATTAATCGGTTTTTTATCGCCGACAATCTTTCTCATTATTTGAGCAGTAATTTATTATTTAGTACTAAGGTACCTTGCTCAGTTGCGTCAGTTGCGTTGCTTCGTAAGCTGCCACAGTTTTATACCAATTGAAACGAAAAACGTATCGATCGCGATGAACAAAAAGAATGGTATTGAAGAGTCTAAATCGAAACAGAGCCGGCGCTAGGGAGAATCTGCGCCTGAGACGCCGGTCGGACGTGCGTATGCTGTTGAATCGCTAGCGGTCGGTAAAGTGTTAATTTATTAACGAAATTCACGTATACAGGGTGGTTGGTAACTGGTGGTACAAGCGGGAAGGGGGTGATTCTACGCGAAAAAAGAAGTCGGAAATATAGAATAAAAATTTAAAAATTCAAAAATTTAAAAATTTAAAAATTTAAAAATTTAAAAATTTGAAAATTTAAAAATTTGAAAATTTGAAAATTTGAAAATTTGAAAATTTAAAAATTTGAAAATTTGAAAATTTAAAAATTTGAAAATTTGAAAATTTAAAAATTTAAAAAAGTAACGTCAATCGGGACAACGATCTACAATGAGATTTGTTATAACGAGACGCGACAAAGTGCATGCGTACCGAGCGAAAATTCAAAGTCGATTTTCTCGAAAACAAAGCCTCGAACGAAAAATGTTTATTGTATATTTTCGACTTCTTTTTTCGCGTAGAATCACCCCCTTTCCGCTTGTACTACCAATTACCAACCACTCTGTATATTATCGATTTCAAATTGGTTTCAAATTTTACGCATATAATCGCGTCTTGTTAGTAACGGTGAGTCACTACGATGCTGTTTAACCGTTTTAGCGTCACGCAGCGCGATCGCGCTGTTCGCGTACTGTGGTGAACTGTGTCGCGATGTTTGGTTACGATTGACAATTCGCAACGCGTTCGGTTTCGAACGTAGCTCGTCGCGAATCATGTCAGAGTTTCCTCTCGTAATTACTTCTTTTTTGTTTCAAACAATCTTAAACCACCTGCGTAAACGAAAAAAAAGGGCAGCGCGATCGCGTCGATCGGTATTTCTCGGAAATAAATGAACGCTGTATGGTACAATCCGACACGGATTCTTAAAAAGCCGTGGCATTAAAACGGTTAAAAATTTCCCGAGAAGAGTACGAACTTTTTGGATAGAAACCGTCTCGCATAATTTATTGAAATCTTACTCGGGCTTGAAATCAGGAGATTAACGATTGCTACGTTATACCTTCACGCTATTTTATTGCGAATGTTTGATACAGTACGATATTAGATCGTAACGTATAAAATATCGAATTTTATCGCCTTCGACGAATATCTTTGTCTTTCAGACAGTTGATTTTCTCGTTTATGCATCTTTAATATTTACATACATGTGTAAAGGATATATAAACATATCCTTTTCTTAGGTTTCAGCAGAAGTATGTATGAATTGCTAAAAATCGGACATTTCATTCTCTATAACTAACAACATAAGAAAGTATAATAACACAGTAATGTAGATCACTAACATTATTTTGATTGCAAAATTAATGTCAACCTAAAATATTTCTTAAAGTTTACGATCGTATTATATAACGTCATACTAAATTTAAGAAAATTACAGCTCAAAATAAGTAAACTATTCGTACACGTTATCGGTGGCTCGCTCCTTCTATCGATCTCGCGATCGTGGGTTTGCAGTTTGATAAATTTGCACGGCGCCTCTTCGAAAGATGGTGCAGTTTGTCGTGAATGTCGTTTGTTAAGGAAAGAAAAACTTTTCCGGATTCGTGTCGTAGGTGCATTTTACGAACGTATATGATTTCTGGCATTCATCACCGGTGTATTCTGCGTATAAATGGAACAAAGTTTAGCTGGAAGCTTTAACTTCTTTCATGTGAAAAAAATAAAAAAAGTATGGTGCGTCTGAAAAGTTTCTAAAGCGATCGAATCTCGATTCAAAAAGGAATAAATTATTGGAATTTTTCTACAGTATCTTTAAGCGAATACGGTGATTCGAAGTTGTCGATGGTTTTGCAAATTTCTTTATAAGCAACCAATTTTTATTTAATTATCGATCATTTCGGCTCCAATCATACGTTTTCATTGTTGATAAATTTTCTAAATTTGGAAAAATTATGAAAGAATCGTTGTTGATATTTATGATTAAATGTCTGGTAAAGTTCTTCTTGAAATATTAAAAATCTATTTGCTTGTTTTGAACGAGCAAGTGTTCGAGTATTTGATAATTTGCCTTACCCATATGACTACATTTCAGTATAGCTTCCTTCATTATGGCTGCTTCTTCCGGTGCCATCGAAAGTTCTACTTGCTTGATCACCATAGCAAAATCGATATTGCCATTTTTAAACTAGACGAACAAACGGATCAAAAATGTCGATTAATCGATCTTCCAGTGGACAATCTTAATATCGAAGATATTATTTTGTATTTACGGTTCGAATTAATTTCATAATGCAATTCGTATAGCACTTAAGATTTGGATCTTCTGGAAATTCACCTCTTCGCATGCCCTCCACTTTATCTAAATAAATTCCGACAGAAATACAGAGGACACTTTGTCAACGATCTAATTTTCTTCGATTTGATCGAATTCTGTTTTATTCGTCTTCTCTGCTTACCTTCTGATATATCGATTTTTTGCAAACAAGACCTGCGCAGACTCCTTGCCATTTTGTCCATTTGCTCGGCAGTGGCCTAAAGTTCATGCAATAATTTAGATTCTGTTGTCAGTTTTCTTTCCTTTTAACTTTTAATACATAATGACACGCGTTGAGAATTTTCTGGTTTTGTTTCTAACAACTCACTATGGTACATTGTCCCAAGATCTCGAATAGCGACAATGAACCATGATTTCCAAGAACTATTGGTCATTTTGACGATGAATTTGTTACCATTAAATTTTATTCAATTTTCACACGTCTAACCCTTTGGATGATCAGGTTACCGGAATATTTTAATTTTCAAAATTTCAAATATCTAGATCTGTTAATATTTTAATACTTTGGTATTTAAATAAAACTTTTCAATTTCAAAAAAAGTATGTCGAATTTCGAACGGTAAGATATTTCGGAGAATATTCGAGAAATATTTTTCGAAAACTATTTATCACTTTTATCTATCTAATTCCCATTATTCCAGCGAACAAAATTCCTGGATCGCTGAAAAATTAATATTTTCACTAATACTCAGCCAAATGTATTCTTCCATTAAAATTGAAGAAACGTACACTTTCTGCTGGTTTCCACGCCACGATCGCGAACAACATTGCGACAAGTAAAAATTTCACATGCATATTCAAATTTTTAAATAGAAAAGGAGATGAAAACGAATATTAAAGCGTAGTCTTTCTTCAGGACCAAACGACTGAAGGCTTATTCGCCTAGTCTTTCTCTTATAAACCTTTCTGCTCTAACGTTTCGTAAGTCATATGCGATGACTTTTGTTCAATATCGGATAATTTGATAATTTGACATTCGCTAGGAAATTACGATAGAAAAACATGGTCTTTTTCGACTTGATGATAAACTCGCTGACTTTATGTAACGCGAGTTAAAGAGCGTTTTCAACCACTGAATTATCGTCTCGACGAGTTTCAACTCCCTCGAACGAAATAATCTTTTACCGTCTTGTTCTTTCCGCAATGATTCGATACGATTTCCTTTTTCACTGTAATTTCCTAGTTAAAAATGTAAGATTATCGTAGAAAATATCGTTTATCTTTCGAGAAAGAGTAGAAGCTAAATAATTTCTTCGCAGGACGAGCAGATATTATTTTAAATATTAGGTTGTCTTTCGTTTTACGAGGAAACGATAGATGCACAGCATTTTTCCTTTTACATTATTTTATTGAATTGAATAAAATAATATAAAACAAAACATGCTGCGCATCTACTAATTCCGCATAAAAAGAAAGGAACTTTTGAGACAACCCGATACCTACGATCACATCGTCGTATCTATTCAAAAATTCGACATATTTCGACAATCGTAATTTAAAAACTGTTTAGCGAGCTTCCATCGCAAAACTATCGACAAATTATTCCATTATAGTTCGCGGTAACAGTCACAGGCTCGATCATGCCAGCCACTGCACCGTCTCGAGCCCCACACCCGCTCGGTGCGGTTTGCACGCTCCAACTTGTACGAAGCAAGTTTTGGCCGGTCGTTCGCTTTGTCCGCAGCTCCCTTCGCCGACCGAAGACTCGGCGTTAATGTCGAACCCTTGTATCTCGAGAGACACCCTTAAAACAGGAGCATCTGGCCAGAAAGCGACGCCATCCCCGCGGCCATTAGTTCGTGGGGCTACTCTTCGCCGGTTCGATAATTACATTTTTTTCCACCCTCTCGACACGATCTCCTCGGCGATTCGTTTCCACCTGATCGTCCTATACTTCAACGAATCTCGAGAGGAATTCCTCTTCATGTTCTTTTCGATGTTCATCCCTTCGTTTTTCTTTTCTCTTTTGCTGCAAGCGACTATAGTAAGCTTGGCTTTTGAAGAGACGATGGCTTTTGCCAGGATATTCCGGCTCCTCTTTGAGAGTTCGTGGATCGAGTGCGATGAAATTCATTGGAAACGTATATGTTACCGCCGATGAGATGCGAAACTTTGGTCTTGAATTTGAATAACAAACGAATTTCTGGGATTTTAAGGATCTTGGCGCTAGAATTATCAGAGTGGTTGAAACGATCAATTTAAAAGCTTTCATAGAAATTTCGTAGATTTACGTTGGACGTAAAGAAAATATTTCTGCGTGTGCAACGGAATCATATATCTTGCTCTTGTCATTTGTCAATTGATTTTATATCATTAGCAGATCGCGGATACTTATACATTTATAGAAGATCAATCGAAAGTAAAGCAACGCTTATAACATTTAGAGGGTAAAATAAATTATTTCGGTTTCACGTTTTTCCCTTGCAAACGAATGGTACATTTATTATCAAATTAAGAGAAATTTAACCCTTGGAGCGTTGAATACTCGTGGCCAGCGCTGACCATCGCTGTGGACGGAGTACTTTTTCGCTAGACTTAACTTTGTTGATTGAAATTGAAAGCGCAAATCGTAATAAGTTATAGTAATTCTTTTGCACGAGATTATATGATTCAAGAGCGTTATTTTTTAGTATCAATCATTTATTATAAACATTGAAATTTGCAATAAACTGGAATCTGGATAATAAACTAAAAAACGATAAACTAGAAAACTAAATTTAGTAAATATAACAAAAGTTAATAATTCAGTCGTGTGTGAAAAATTTCAAAACAATTATCGATACGTAATCCGACATGGCATTTTCTGCATTCGTATCGCGTGTCGCTCCTTCTCTTATTTTTCGCACAAACAACACATTTTCTTCTTGATGATTGTGTTGTGCCGGCACGATTAGGGCATTTTCATGGAAAAATGCCTATCCATTAAACGAAATGGTAAATCCTTTAAAAATAAATAAAGGTAAATGGATTTTCTCTTTCCTCCTCCTAACATGCTTCTACGTTGGAAATATTTTCGTAAAATGTCTCTTATCAACGCTAAATGAAATTCACTAAATTTTTGTTCCGAAGCAGTAGATTTTTGATATAAAATATATGCATTATATATAAGCAATACATTTATATTTATTTCGCACAAACGTAATAGTATTACTTCTGCGTAGGCGTTCGGAAAAATTGACAAACGCATATAGGCGTCCTTAGTCCATGCCGGACACTTACAGAAAACGCATATATGCGTCCATAGCGCACTAAGGGTTAAGAATAAAAAAAATGTTAAATTAAGAGAAACGCGACAGTGTGGGACGTTTATGTTTCTAATTCGATGAAAAATATGAAAGAGAAGGAAGAAGCTCCTCCGTGGGATGGACCTAATTCCACGATATCATATCCGCATCTTGCCTCGTAAATTAAAAATACTTGTACACGTGTAACAACAAAATTTCGTCAGACGGTGACATCGAATCGAACCGATGGAATCCGATCGCGCAATACCGGCCTTCCTTCACCCACATCTGGACACCGCGTGCTCGTTTCTGAACAACGATCCGCGATATCATAACGCGGACTTTCTCCGCTATTCATGGACACGTTCGATTTTAGAGCGTGAAGAATGTCAATATGTTACCTATATCCACATACGTGGACAACTTTACATAATATGCGATTACCTAATAATTAAATCGTGGATGTTGATGCAAATTGATATTTTTAGAAATGTAACTACACAGATAGCACGTAGACGTGAACTTCTTTTACTCGTTAAATATTATACCTTTATAAAGGGTGGTTGGTAACTGGGGTGGAAAGGGGGTGGTTCTACGCGAAAAAAGAAGTCGAAGATAAAGAATAAAAATTTTTTTTTTAATTTTTCCATCGAGACAACGATCTACAGTGAGATCCGTTATAACGTACCGCACGCGTACCGAGTGAAAATTCAAAGTCGATTTTCTCGAAAACAAAGCCTCGAACGAAAAATTGTTATTCTATATTTCGACTTTTATATTCTAATATTCGACTTCTTTTTCGCGTAGAATCATCCCCTTTCCGCTTGTACCACCAGTTACCAACCACCCTGTATATTTTTACATCTCATCTGCGTTGTATGTATATTTGTGCATCCTTGAATTTTCCATAAATGGACAAATATCCGCAGTCTGCTAATTTGTATAAAGCAAATGTGCTGATACTTATGAACAGGGGTGGGGGTATGTATTAAGGATTTTTACAAGAACGAGTTAATCAAACCGCAGAATATCCATCGCAAAAGTGTTGTTCACGACAATAATCGAACAATCAAAACGCGAAAACGAACAATGTGAAAGGAGCATCGTGAGAATCTCTTGGCTCCACGAGACCAAAATTGCTTCTTAAGGAATAGCAATCAAGTCCAATCGGTTCGCTAGAGAGGATTGAGCGATAAAAGAAAACGGTGTCCGATTGTTTGCGGGCGTTAACGAAGATCGCGTGCGACAAAACTAGCTTCTTCCGTAATATAAACAACGGGGAAATAAGAACGCGGAAGCGAAGGGTGAAGAGCGAAAAAAGGATGGACGCAACGGTGAGTAAGAAACGGGGCAGCGATGTTACGAATTACGGAAAGGGAAGGGCGTGTTAGAGAATCACGTCGTACGAGTCATGGGAATAACGTGACCTCTGCGACGCCGCCCTAATTAAGCGCCTTTAATTAACGGTAATAACCGCGTTTCACGGCGAATTGCGTAACGAACGTCTTGTCGATAGGTCGCTGCTTCGTCCAGAATTATAATAACGCGTTCAGCTTGCGACGATGTATACAGTTGGCTGAAAAGGTTCGATATCGTCTGGTAAGTTGGTTCGTTTTGGCCTGCGTTTATTTAATAATGTTGTTATTCAGAGGTGGGATCGTAATAGCTATTATTTTATTCTTTGGATAAATCTATCGCACCGTTCTGAGCCGAAAAACCTTTATTCCACTTTCTTACATGGACTAGGGATAGGAACAAAAGAACATCTTAAACCTATCGATTGTATCTAGAACTATCTTCTAGTTGCTATTTATTGTAACCAGCGCATCTGCATATGGATGGCGAGCACGAACTCGCGTTGTCATTTTCGACAAATAATTTAGAATGTTCCGTTTTGCTACGATCCTGTATTACGTAGAACGTAGTCGATGAAGCGGGAGATGTAATTTGAAAGTTTGGAAAGCCGACGAATAAATCGACGGACAATGTTAATGATAAAGGATCCCGATATTTAAAATTGAAAATATTAAAAGGTTCGAGAACGTACGTATGTAATGTAAGTCTCGTAAATCTCGGATTGTGAGAAAGGTTGACATTTAACTTTTTTATGTAATGAAAATATAATGAAAAACATTTCAAAGAATTTGTAAACATAAAAAAACGAGAAGTTCTCTCCGTATGGGAGGCGCGAATCTCGCTCTTAAAAAGATATCGCTTTCATTTGAAAGGTATTCGCATAAAATGCCCAGGCCGTATTCCTGGCGACAGTGCGTCACATTGTTGCATCAACATCGCCGCCAAATTGAGAGGCGTATAAACGCGTGGCCGAAGAAAAAGGAACGAGCACGCGATAAATGAACTGTGTCGATACGTTTTCGAAACGCGACGATCACCAGCCGAGAGACTCGCGACTGCGTAATAAATTAATCGCGTGCCCCGTCGCGATTAAAGGCTGCCCTTTGTCATGCTAATTACCTTTCAATTAAACTTCACAGTACCGGGGTCCCCGAGCTTGCCTGAATTAGCTTTCAGTCGGCTCTGATTCGGGCAACTTACTTTCTGCCGCAAAATTCCAAGCAAATTGTGGCTCGTGCTTTTAGTCCAACCTCCCTCTGTTCCACGTAGAACACCCTTCGAAGGGAATAAAGAGAAAAAAGAA